GCTAAGAACTATTAGACAAGTGAATGTGATTACAATGTCTGGAAAGGATGGATATTATAACGACAACAAGGAGGATTTACAACACACTTCCCAGACAATGCAGTAATAGGTAATGCAGTATAACAATGGATCTGTTTATCACCGTATATATAGATGGCTAGAATGGATTAGCAAAAAGGAGGAGAATCTTATATATCATCAGTCAATATTAATCACCATCAAATTGGAAAAAGCTGTTTGGTTTCCGACAAAAGGAGCGTGTAACGTTATGTATGTGTATGTATGTATGTATGTATATGTGTGTGTATGTGTGTGTATGTGTATGCGTATGTTTATGTGTGTATATATAGGTTTTCTATTGAAACAAAAAAAAAAAAAATTCAGGATGATACATCAGAAGCGGGTATTCATCATCAATCAAGATACTCAGAAAGTGTTACTTGTGAGTTTGCCCAGCTCACTCACTTTTCTATCAGTCACCAGAAACCTATGAAATGAAGCAACGCTACCATTGAACAAAAGTGATGTCATTTCTGACATCACTTTTGTTCGCGATCAATAAAACATTTCAAAAGTCCGATGATTAGTACATACAGGTAGAGTTCGTAATGGTGCGAATATTCATTTTGGATTCCCCTTAAATTTCTCGGTTCCTTTCATTTCGTTCTGATGTTCACTGTGATATCATTTGTAAATTTGTACATTAATTTCCCTTTCAAAGTAAAAGTTAAACAAAACGCACGAAAAATATGAGTTTGACCTTATTTTTTCACTATCATCTATATATACTTCTGATGAGTTATTATTAATGGGAAGCTAATGGAGAATTCAGTTCGTTTCCGCTTTATGCATTTCAATTTCTATTTAAATTCATTCTCTGGTTCACTCTGCTAACAAAATTGATAGATTTAGGAAGACCTGTCGATTGTCAGGTGGTAATTCCTGATTGCTTGGTAAATTACTTACTGAACCAAAGCAATCTTCTGGATTCTTCTTTTAGATTGCTAAAATTTATTCTCATTTCAACTGGAAGAAATACCTTGGAGAAATGGAAAAGGATTAGGTTATATCCGAGCTAGGACATATTATTAGAAGTGTGAAATAAGAGCTCTAGTCCAAGCTGCTAAAATTGTGGGTGAATCAATCGAATAGAATTATTTGACAATTAATATGGTGGCTTTATTTTATGAAGCCCATGTACAGTGATTCCAGAATATTTCCTGATTTTTTGTTAGTTGACTAGAGCCAAGACTTATGCGAGATGAATATTCAAGTATGAACACCTGGAAAAGAAGAAGACATAAAGGTGGATGCATCCTGGATTTTTTCAATATGTGAAACTTTCTAAATCTCTAATCCATGACTTAGAATATTTCTTTTTTCTTTTTTCTTTTTTTCTTTTTCTACGGTAATGATTCTTTCAATTTTAGCAAATATTTCGACCATTGAGCATCAATTGAGAATCATCCCTAAACTGACTACAGGGGATTTTTTCTTAAACGTTCAACAACCCATCTCTGCAAAGTCATTTTTTTGTCCACTCACTGTCAATATTCGTCTTGAGAGTATGATGTGGTTAAGTTAGGGTAATAGGTTAATTTCGTAGCTGCCGTACTGAATGGCATAAACCTGAATAAATAGACGCACAAAGGAATCTCTCATTTTCCATCCTTCTATTGATGAGATTTTCAGACTCGATTGCTGCTTTAGATTTGCATTCAGCAGAGGTTTGCAGATACGGCTTTTCTCAGTAACAATTACTCAAACAATCTCAACGGTGTGAGATATCTGCATAGTATCAAAGAACGTGAAACTGGTTTCTGATTGGAATTTCAAACGGAACGAGATAAAACAACCGAAAAAAGACGTCCAGAAAACTAGAGAAAGAGGGACTCAAACCATAAGTAAACAAAAAAGAATTCACTAACCATTCTCGAGTGGCTCATGTATTCTCAACCGGGAACACCTTATACAAATGGCTGAGTTAAAAAGAAGCAACTCAACAAATCAATTTTTTCTGTGTGAAATCACTCTTTATGGCAACAAATTTCTGTCACCAATTCTGGATCCAAAATAATGGGAATGAAGCAGTCAATTGACGCTAGCCATTCGTTACATGTTTTCGTTTCAGATCAATGCCGCAGGAACATTTTTCGAGAAACTGAACAAAAGATCTGAAATGATCGCAGTCCTCTTGTTTGGTTTCACCGGAAGTTCTCTTCTCTTCCTAAATGTTCTATAGTTTTGGGAATCCCACCAACTAACAAATAGCTGCAATGCCGAAGAGAATAATCCTGGCACTGTCAATGTTGTTTGCCCCGATTTCCCTCTCGGCGCTTATATGTTATGCTTTCTCTGCTGCGTGTTTAACACGTGATGGCTTTTATTATTTTTTCTTTTAAAATGAACTTAAAAGTTTTGATTGCATTGCAGTAGATTTTTTTTTCTCGACATTTACACGATCTCTCGGAAACGACTCTTTGTTTATAGGTGCTTTCAACTATGAGATCAGAAATTTGAAATGTGATCATCGCCAATTAATTATCATCTTTCCAAGCACTGATTTTACTATCTCGGCACAAAAAATGCATACTAATTTTATGCTGAAACGACTCTTTCCTAGCCCAAAAATGGACGAAAATGTGTCTTCTCGGTAATGATGCTCTCGTGTTAATTTTTTTTTTCGTGAATGGAAGATTCTCGGATGCTTCTTTTTTCTTCTTCCGTCTTATCGAGATATTCACTAGCACCGATTTATTCTCAGCAAAGAGAAGCTGTCAAGTGTTTTCACAATAATGCGCAGCTTACCTCCTTTCGTTTTCCTGTGTCACTTTTTTTCTGACCATTTCTTTTTTTTTCTTCCATATTTTCGTTACATTTGCTCTTTCCTCTGTGATTCTCAACTCCTCTTGAAAACGTTTTTGAAATGAAATTCCATATTTCATCACATTAGATGTGTAGATAGAATTATCAAGTGGACTGTTAGAAATGAGTCCAAAAGTTTCCTACATGGAATCAAAAAGAATACCATGACATTTGAGTTTTTCTATCTTATCGTTTAAGGTGCATACATAAATTTTCTGTTTCAGATCCTTAGTGATAAGCAAATACTCCATTTTCTCATAAAATTTTTGGATTTTGGCATAGCAAAGTTGCATAGATAAAAACAAGGTGATATACCGTAGCGATACAAAATTCTTTAGGCACAATTACCTATGATAAACTTGTTGTGCTGGTAACTCTTTGCATGCATGCCAATCTTCTTATAGGATATCAGAGAGCTTTACCGACTTTCTTTTTCTAATTCTTAACATCGAAAACTATCATAAGCAAGACAATCACCAATATATAAACTGAAGTGAAAAGTAATTCAAGTCAGATATATTGCAACATATAAGTCAATTTTTTGTTTCCTTCGATTTTCCTGACAACAGGAGTTCAAATCAATTTCTAGCATAAATTAAAACATCCTTTCCCTCCCATAGCTATTCTTAGCCAACCCGAGATTTGCTACCGACAAATGCATCAATTACACAACAGATAAACATGAAAATACTAATGAACACAGGATATGTCAATTGTTGCTAACTTTATTTTATTTTTTAGAAAAAGACACTTTTTTTTTACTTGAAACTTATTCGACCTTCTATTTTTGATTGTTGCAACAAAGTGTTCTCTCAAAATAACCGAAAATCATTAACTTATGAATTTCCTACTCAGATTTTTCCTGTATTGAAGAATTTTTTGAAATTTAAACGTCACTCTACAATAATGTATTATTTGGTGGCACGACCTAATAGCAGTGTTGAATGAGCTTAGTCGAGACCATTCAATTATCGCAGTGTGTTGCACAAACTAAATCTGATAGATATGCGATCTGAGTATTAGTTTTAGTTACCAAACTTCTACACTTTTTGAAAAATTAATTGTTTGCATTTGTTTCTGTTTTTTTTAGGACGAAATTTTGAATCTTAAACTTTTTCATACTCTTGAAATTTTCGAAAATAATAAATCGTTTCCAAATTGCTTCCTTTGCAAATGCCTTTTTGTACTTCGTCAAATTCATTTATCGATTTCATTCCGCAATTCATTCCGTAATTTTCAAAATGATGAAAAACGACTTTTTCCACTTTGTTTTTCTTTGCAATAAATCCTTTGCAGCAACAAATGAAAGATATTATTTTCTTTCATTTCAATTACAAATGTAAAAGACGATGGTGTCAACGTCTCCAACACAATTTTTTGTAGTTCTTTTTTTCTATACCTAAATTTTCAATAGCTAATTACACCTTACTACTTTCTCTATACGATGCCTTTTTCCAAACTTCTTATGCGTTTTTCTAGCAGTCTTTTGACATGTTGTTCTTTTTTACTCTCTTTTTCATTCTCTTTTCAAAAATTCCTTTTTGAATTCTTTCTGCTTATAGGGCCGTGCTTCATGGAATGACATTCTGGCTAATTACTAAAGTTGTTTCATAAAGACTTTCCGCATTTAAATTTTTCATCAGATCAATACCCCAGGAAAATTATGTGAGTACTGTATGTGTATAGATATTTAGGTGCAATCATCTTTTCCGATGTACGGTTCGATAGAGCGAGACGTTGCAATTATATGAACTGAAATTTCTTTAAAGATCCAGTGTGAGATTGTGCCTTACTCGTAACTGAATTACCATGAGAAAATAAGCCCGATAATCTTGATTATTATTCATTGAGTAGTCTTTTGCAAAAACAATCAGCTATGCATGATGGAGCAACACTCAGAAACAGTTTTTAAATCTTAGCTTTCTGTTCCATAAATTACAAATCGTTACATTTGGCCTTCTCAGATATCTGACTAAATATTTTTTTTCTTATTTATGTTGTCGTGTTGTATATTTTCGAACGTATTTTTTTGAAATTCCATATTCCATGTTTTTCTCAAATTTGTCACTTAATGACTCGGATTTAAAATTTTGTAAGCAAGTTCAAATTCATTTAATCCAATAGAAAGTGCGAAAACTCGAAGCGAGATTTCTGTTAGCATTTTGCAAAAACAATCAAACTTTTTGCATTTTATTTTTTTTTTCAAGTTTGCAATATGTACGCTTCAAAATACAGTAACAGACAAATTTACAACAAAAAATTGTGAATCTTTTTGCTACTGCAAAATAAGAATAATTTGTCTTTAACAGTCATTTATCGCTTAATGATATGCTGAAATATGGAACCTAATTCCCTATTTTAATTACCTACGACATACAGCATTTTTATTTTTGCACCTAATTAGACTAAATAATCACCACTCATCAAACAAGTTTATTCGTTCTTATTCAAATAAGTCAAAGTATAAATTTAAAAAAAATGTAAAATGTCATGTTCAGAAAGAGAATGCGAAATTTTGCAGGTGTTAAATAACCTGTGGCATAACAAGTTTTGCAATGTTAAGAGATCTTTGTCAAAATATGGCAAGTAATGATTAATGTAAGGCATTTAATTGTACTTTCAACACTTTTATTCCTGGGACAATTGGAACATCAAATATTGAAATTTATACCAGTGCTTTAATCAAATTTGAGGACACACATTTTTTTTTTATTTTAGTACAAAACTTTTGGATGAGTTTTTCTCCTAAAACGCGAACTTTTTTTCATTACGGAAAAATTTTTTTTTCGTGCGTTTGCAACACTGCCGTAGTTTAAGAAGAAATATATTGTGTTAGAGTGCATTTCGCATCACTATTATCTAATAAACAGGCTAGAACAACTGCTTCTGCTTTTTTCTAATATTGAGATTTGGAACTTCACCCACGATTAGGATGAAAAGGATGGAGGAAGAGAAGCTGTAGCTTACTTATAGGAGGTGCATCTGAAAGAGAAGCTGTAGCTTACTTATAGGAGGTGCATCTGAAGGACCCACACAACAAACTCCCCATTCATCCGTGAGTTCCGAACATAGCGAACAACTCTTGCTAAAGTTCCCAGTTCCATCCATTCCAGCTAACCTTTCTCTTTCATTTATTTCTTTAATCATCAGTGATTATCATCTACCGCTTAGTCAGTGTTTTTGTTTCCGTTATCCTCGGCTAAAATGCACTCCAATTCATCAGATACATTTCAATCATTTTAATTTGGTGTTCCTCGTTCTTTAATTATGCCTAGCTTTTTGTCCATTTTTTTTTTTCTTATTAAGAAAGTGTTAACTTGCGTTTATCTTTCCCTCCAAATTTTCACATTTCGATAAATATCAAAAGTGCTTCTAGGCTTCAGTTTAGAAATCTATCCCTTTCAGTTTTAACTTTTCACGTTATACTCGCCAGAGTTAAGGTCACATACGCTTACAGTATTTAATTAAATTGAGGCCAATTTCTTCCCAAATTTTCACACGAAGGATTGAAAATGATGAAATAAGCTTAAAGATAGATTATTGAAAATTGCATGAACCTAAAACAGCTAATACATCTGCAATATGTTTCTTATTTCAGAATCCTTATTTTTGTAGGACTTGTCATTTATAGTATGGCATGGGGAGCTGCGGATCAAGCTTTTTGCTGAATGTTTGTTATGTGTGGCAAAAATAAAATTTTGGCCAAAAAATTTTTAAGTTATGAAGTAACATATAACGAAAAACACTGCGGTAATTTGATAGATTCCAATTTAATGGAAAAGTTTCTTCCAAATACACCAGTTGTGAGCGGAAAAAAAATCGGCAATTTTGTTAACTAAAGGCATGCATTTGAATTTCAGTCTTGTCGTTATGGTGTAAACTGGCTAAAACTGAAGAATCAGACTTATTTCCTACTAACTTCAGAAACTCTCCTGAACAAATTGTATATAATTAAGTTGTGATAGTGTTAGTTAAGATCAGATATTTCTCGTCACATTTAACGTTTATGTTTTCAACAGCCGTAATAGAATAAAGGAAAGTTAGAAATGGATGAGATAATGGTGTCTGTAGGAATGGGTTCATGAATAAAGGAGCAAAGCTTCTCCTCCCTCACCATATTATTGCCTATACGGCATATTTTATTGTGGTGGTAAAAGTGTAGTTCTTAAATCGAAAATTTTTTTTTTTTTTGACATCATACTTTCCCGCAACACTCGTAAGAACAATATTTTATAAACTAAGTGTCTTTTTCTGATTCAAATGGTTGTATCAAATGAATCAACTGATTTGACGAACATCATATTATAATCCGAACCATCTGACAATAGTGCAAAATCAAATCTAAAAGTAGTCTATAGTGGAGGCTAGCAATTCCTTCTGTTTAATTCAAAGTGATCGGTATCTTGAGTCATCTAGTATTATCGAACAAACAAACAGTGCAAACTTCCCGGCTTATCTGAAATTGTCGGAAACATTTGCCTTTATATTTTAACGCTATATGACACTCACTGCATTGCAATATTGTAACTAAGACAGATTTGATGAAGCACGAAATTACGGTAATATATGACAAGAATGTTTTGTGTACGACGGCTATTTGTTAGTAATAAACTTACAAAGAATAATGAATTTGAAAATATTCATGATATCAGAAAACTGCGTGTTTTTATTCAAAAACATTAAAATAAGCTAAGTTCAATTCAGATCAGAAAATACTTTTTGCTAAGCTAATAAACTCAGAAACAAAATCTGATTGCTGAATGAAACTAAAATATAATTTTGGACCTGCTTGTAATGATTAAAAGTTGTGTAGAAGTTCCAAAAGTATGTTGATAGAAATTGCCAACTTATCATTATTCCTCTAGTTCATACACATGACAAACAGTGTGTGATAACGACGCTTGAGTAGTTGAATATAGTAATGATGAGACAGCAATATCTTTTTGCATTTCCATTTACATATTATTAGAAATATTCCACCTATTCCAAACTTCATGCTTACTTAACTGAAACGAATTTATGAATTCTGGCGTAGAAGAAATTATTTTCCCCGAAACGACTTAGTTAAAATTGATGAAACCTAATTGAGCTTAAGTTTCGCTGTGCTTATGTTTAACTTCAGTCTCTTAAAAACTTGGATTTTTCGGTATGGCATTATAATGGTTCAATTTCACTTTCCCATCGTTATTGTACATGGAAGCCAGTTAAGGGACTGAGAAAAATGGGCATCATGATGATTTCAAAAATAAAGTATAAATCATAACTCAGCAATATTGTGTGCTTATTTCTGCTGCAATTTATTTTATAACTTCATCTCTCTGGATATACTTTAAAGAAACTCACAATTTCATCATCTTCTTTATTCTGTTTGATCTATTCGTATTTCAGGTTGTCGATCACCACTATGCAATAAAATTCTTTTAGCTTTTCGCCTGTTTTTCAAATTATCCCCTCATTTAGTGTTCAAGAAAGCATTCTCTTAGAATTTGTTACCAGAACTATATGTTTCAATGAATTAAATTAAAGGAAATGATTGTTTTGCTAAAGAAATTAATTCGTCTCTAATAAAGAAATAAAATCAACGCTGATTGACATGGACTTTTGCCTTCGTAGAGAGGCAGTACCGTAATCAAAAATCTACCATTTCCATTAAAAACAGAGAATCATTTTCTCTCATTTGTCTTCTTTCTTTTTTTTGTTTTGCTTTAGACTAATAATCAGTAAATCATGAAATCCTTTTTGCAGAAAATTTTTACGAAATTTAAATTGTAATAAGCAAATTAATTTTGCAAGCAGCCTTTTATGTTTCTTTTTGAAGTACGATCAAACGGAACGAATACTTACTGCGACAATTATTGAGCTTCCTATACATCCGTGCTGATTAATGGCAATTTTTGGAGAGATCCTTTCTTCAAATCTGTTTGAAGTATTTCGAAATTAATTATCGCTTTTCGAGCCGTTATTTTCAATTTTTCACTATGGTCAATGCTTTCCCCAAAAAATGGCATGCTCCAAATTCAAGATTCAAATGAATTTTTCTTCCAAGGCCGAGATATCTATCCAATAAAAATATCCAGAAAATTTTCAAAATTCTCTAAAATTCATGGATTACATTTGTTTTTTTATCATTTCCTTATAATTTTGTAATTTTGCTAAAATCCGAAATTTCATTTTGTAATGCAGTTAACATACTAAAGTTGATGAGATTAGTAATGTGTTGCAATCGGAAAAGGAAATCTAAAACGTTTTCTTTCTAGTTGTCGATATGCAGTGCGCATTAAGGTCAGATTTGTCAAAGGATTGGTTAAGAGGTAAATTTCCGTTTGTTCTACAAAATAGATCATAATACTCTGCTTATATGTGATTTAAATATTGAAATTCAAGAATCAAAGAGTAAGAACTAATGAGTTCAGAATCGGAATTGAAATGAAGTCGTGATCTAAAAGTGGATTACGACTTAGTGCTTCATATTAGTTGTAATATAAGCCATTGAAATTCTTAAAATTAAGATTGATGTTTTTTTTAAGCCTTGCACAACAGTGGCAAGCAAGTTAAATTTCAAATTAAAACAGCGACTAATTTGTTTCCAATTTCTTTGGTGCAATTGCATACTCAGCCGGAATGTTAATTAATACCACTGTTTAATTTTATTTTTCTATTCTTGTTATAATTTCTTAAAAGGATTTTTCGATATATCTCAAAAGATAATTCCTTTATACTCTATTGTGGTTGAAATGAAGCAGTTATTTGAATGATAGTTACAGGTAGCAGAGCAGGATACAAGTACGGATAGTTCTAACAGATACAAAACATAAAAAATAAAACTGTGTTGTGAACTATCTTAGCTGCAAAGAATGAACAATGATAAGATCGTTGACATACAGGACGGTGAGTAAATGAGCAAATGAAATCCTGAGAATTACGAAATTGAAAATGGAATCAGGAAACGTAGATTGAGCTATCGGTGCTTTTAATACACAGTTTACTATTTACCAGCGGCAGTTGTTGTTATACTATTACAATTAAAAGAGAGTACTTTTTTTAGGTGATCTGCGATCTGTTGGTTCTGATCCATCATCATCAACATTGTGTCCAACCATTTGCCATCGTGCGGCATCGTTTCCAATTGTTAGCAGACATCATCCAACGTCTTCTTTATTAAAGGTTGGGGGATGTCTAATGCATGGTAACTGCTTCAAATTCAATTATGGAAAGGAGTGAATTAGAGATCTCGGAGGTTGCTTATCATTATAGATATAATTGAAGCAATCAGTGGCAGTTTTAGGCATTATCTTCAAGGGTGTCAGTTTATTCACTGTAGTGGCAATCCTTCAGCCCATTCCTGTGCTAGTCAAATTGTTGATACTTGGAAGTGCTCAATCTTCTATTCTTGTGGACGAAAACGCACAGCTGTTATTGACGTCTTTGGAAATTTGTCTTATCTACTTCTATTCTGAATTACTGGATTTTCATTTCGATCAAGAAATTTCTATAAATTATTTGTAGGTACGTTCACAGAGCGAATCAGATGCACTCAATCGATTAGGCCTTATCAATTCACGAACTACACTTATAGAGCAGTTGAAAAAACGTCAGCTTGCACCAATTACATTCGAAAAATCACTGGACAATGCTGGTAAATCACTTCATCATTAGTTTTAAAAATAGTTTAAATTTGAAATTTATCGAAACCGGAAACAGAAATTCCATTCAATACAACTTCTTGGGTGCATTAAAAAATTCATATATTCTTTCTGCATCTTATCGTTTTGAATTTTATATTCAATATCGCAAGGAGAATCAGATGCAAACTTGGGCGACAATGACTGTGTCGATGGTAATGTCGGCGACTTTGACCAATTATCACTGATTGTCGAAAATGTAGTTGTTAAAACAACGAAGGCTGCTGTTAGATCATATAAAAGTGTACACTTTGCTGATGATTGCGGCAAAGATCTGACTACCGTGCGTGTGATGACAGAACCTTCAGATTATCCACCTGCCATTAGTGCATCAGTATGTTTCTTTCATTTATATATCGTTGCTCCATTTGTCCACTCAAATTTACGATAAGTTTTAAAGTGACTTTTGGTTCAACAAAACATTTGTAATTTATTTCAGGTAATAATCAATTGGAAATATCAGTTAATTAGGAAGTAGGAAAAAGTAATATTTATTGGAAAAATATGTCTGAGATTGTGCTATTAATGATTTATCCAAATATTACATAAAAATTACGATTGTTATGCGAAACTTTCTTATGTACAACAAATTCTTTGATTTTATAAGGAAAGCAGTAATTAATAAACGTCATGTGAAATTACTCCATCTCCTTTGGCTTTGAGGTAAAGTATTTTCGGAGAGAGATTAGGCATTCTTTTTCAATACTTTATTCAGTCAATAGTCTCACAAATTGATCTTCAGGTAATTCGCCGCCTACTAGGGGAAACAGATGAGGAGGAGAAATTTCGTCAGACATCCGCTTCATGGGTCATATCATTCAAACAACCAGCTAGTGAATATGTTAAATTTCGTGAAACACTAGAGAGAGGGTTTGTTGCGCTGGAAAATGTTGTCCTTAAAAATGAGATATGCCGCATGGTTGGCACCATTAAGGTTCCTCTTCATTTGTGTTCTAAATTTCTACCACTTTTTACTGACAATTCCACTGATCTTGAAAGTGCAATTCTTTAATATAGCAAAGAAAAAGCAAGAAATTTTCGACCGTCCTGCCGTCTTTCCGTAACTTCAATCGAAACATTTAGTCAAACTTTGCCGTCCCGTAATTTGTTTATTTTAGGTTAAAATATAACATTCGAAAAGAAAGTATTTGTACGTTTCACATCGGATGGCTGGAAAAGTTTTCTGGATCGTATGGCAACTTATCAACCATCGTCATCCAAATTTTATGATACGTTTAGTTTTGATGTTGAATTACCCACCAATGGCTCTGATCCGGATGCACGGATTGAATTTTGTATTTGCTTTGAAACCGGTTCTTCTCAAGGTAGCAAAATTTAGTTCAAATTTTTGCACAACTTGATAAAAAGCAAATATCATAAAAGCTAGATGAAACAATGTACTTTGAAAAACCTACGCACTTTCAATAATTTTTCGCTGCTGAATATTTTATGCTTTGAGCATTTCCATAACACGAAGCATGCATTATAAAATGTAAGTTAATATTCAAATTGTACTAAACAATGCTACTTTTTAGTCAGTACTACTTTTGCATCACTTATCATTCACCATCCATAAAAAATAATACCAACGATAACAACTGACGTCCGTAGAACCATAAAAAAGACAAGGTCAATTAACTTCATTTTTATATCATAACAATAAAGCTTATGTAGTAATGCTTTAAGAACTTATATCCGTCAAATATTTTTAATAAAATTACAGATGATACAAAACAGCAGCAATATTGGGATTCGAATAATGGTCGAAATTATGTGCTGACAAGTCAAGAAACGCTAGCTCCCATGTCGCCATTACCTATATCATTATCATTTGGGAAACATGATCCCAATGATGCATATACATGTGAATTTGATGACTGGACTAAATTTGCAGCGTGGAGAAATTTACCAACTGAGGGTCCATACTGGTAGAATTTTATAACAGAAAAGCAACGTCAGCAATCAATATTTCCAAAAACGAATTAAGAATTCTCCTGAATATGACCTTTTTTTCTTTTGCCTTTTGGAAGCACGGTTTGTAATTGATACTGTTGCATAGATTTATGGATCTTTTCAGATAAACATCGATTCCTAGGAAAATTTGTGACACTGTTCATTCGATACAGACTGCTTCTACTGGAATTACCAGTCAGCTCAGAATAATATGTGTGCATTGGTACGGGATTTAGTAAAGCTTAGTTTTCGTAACTGAACTATTTTTATTTTTGAACTTCTTTTCACTTTTTGACGTATAGAATGAAATACTGATTCTGGTTGATAAATTTCAATTGATGCAGGGTTGTACTGGCACAAATTTCATTTATTTCCCGCTTTCCAGTAATAATAGTGATAATAGTGGTAATAGATGATAATTTATTATTGTTCTCCTTCTACTCACTGTACAGCCTATATCATTTTCAAACTTTATAAACATTGCTGGAATACTTCCTGTGAATGTTTAGTCTTGATTAGAAAGTAAAATGATCTTCTGGGCATGAACACATATCCATCATAAACGTCATATTGAATTGTACACCCCTATAGACTATCGAAAGCATTACTCATTGTTTTTCCCAATAAACCTTTAAATCCCAAAGGAACATATTCATGAGGGAAGTACAGTGCAGAACTTAAATTTACTAAACCAATGAAAGTAACGTTATGAAAGTAAACACCTTTGTGTTTTCAGTTTGATTTCAGAAAATTTTCGAAATAGTACTTCGTCAGTTACTTTTTATTAATCGAAAGCAAATTATTTGTTCCAAAAGGTTCCAGATAGTCTTAGACTTTACTATTTGCAATTCGCTATTAAGTATCTGTTCTCCGCAATATTCTCAGGTGTACTTATGGCGCCGATAGTGTTTGTTCAACTGTTTTGACGATGGAGATAAATGGGCATATTACACATGAAATAAAAATCAAACATATGTCGAAATATGGGAAACAAAGATGAAAACTTGTACCGCTATTATTGCTAAAATTTAAGTAATAGAGTTGTAATTAAATGTTGCATTTTTACCAGCAAAGTTCTGACTTCGGTATGTTCCAAGTTTTTTCTGACATTCCATGGGTTGGTGTAAACGTTAATAGTTTAGGAATGTCAATAACAACAGGTTCCTCTTTCACATTATTAATTTCTGGAGCTTTTGGTACCTCAGGTGAAAAAAGGACTCACATATTCATTTTCAAAAGATACATTTCTGCTGAAAAATGGTCCAGATCATTGCTTCCAGCAATTCTAGTCTTCCTGGTACTAAAGCAAAGGCAATAATTATGGATTCCCAAAAATTAAGCTAAAAATTCGCTAAAGTTCATGTGAAGTCCTTATAAATTATTGTTATGAAGAATATTGAAATCATTTCGTTATTGCTTGTTTAGTGTTTGATAAGCTCCAAATTTTGATTCCTCATGGCTTTTTTTTACCAGAAATCCAAAAATTAAACTGCATTCATCGTGTCAAGGTCCTTGGAAGAAAGATGCAATTTAATTTTTTCCGGATTTGATTCCACAGTTTTGCAAACCCTGCTCAACAGTACAATTTGTTTGCTTTACAATGGCACTACAAAAGCAGCGTCTTTCTCCTTCCCCTTTTTTCAGTTTGAAAAAATTTAAGCATAGAATTTTCGTGTGAATTTCGATTGAAATTCGTCATAGGCAATGCCTGTTTTACTTTGAAAAGCATTTGAAATCCTCAATTTTAAGACTTGAAACGAAAATATGTCGATAAGATTCACTAAGGAAATTAGTAAAAGATATCACAAAAACAACAATGATTTCATATTCGCCGATTACATTTCACTGTGTGTGACTGTGCAATCATTCAGTGGTGGTGGGAAGGAGATTCATTGCGAAAGTTCACTTTTAAAATTTTTACAAATTCCCACACATTAATGCAACTGCAGAAAAGTGAATAATCAAAATAAAGATTGAACAAAATTTTACAACACAACAGAGTAATGGATTTTTTGAATGATTGGCATCTTCAGCAGAAGTATGTAATGGATGTACTTGTAGCCTCCTCAATCCTAGCAAATATCAAATACCTCTTCAACTTTTAAGTCCACCTCACCGGTTCTATCTTCTTTTCCAAAAATTTTCTTATCACTTCCACTTTTTTCTCAGCAACATTCTAGGACACTTTTCTTCCAATTTTTTTCCAAAAGACTATGTCGAAATTTTCGAGAGTGTGTGTTAAGCCTGTCGCAGCTTAAAACAAATAAGCCTCAAATTTCCGGCACACTAATATTACATAAAATAAACACTAAGCGCTGATTAGCCATTTCTTGGTATCATCACCGGGAAAACCATTATGAAATATGTTTTTTATAAAATGAATGTAAAAAATAAATAAATAAAGTTGGTATCAAAATGAGGTAGGCACGACAGCTTAAAAGGTAATTGAATGACAATAGTATATATATATAAACTAAAATTATACATCATCCGTCTACCTTATTTCTATCTCATTGAGGCAATGGTTTTCTTGTCTTGTCGATTTCTTTCTTTTCTTTTTTTTCATCGTTTCGTTTTCTTTTTTTTTGCATCTCATCCTCTTTCTATGATGTGATAATTTCTTAAATTATTGGTTGCTTAATATTATCCTAACTTTAGGTGTTTGCAAAATCTAGGATTTATTGATTTAGTGTTTTGAAATTCTACCGTTTTACTATTAAATTAGATATAAAAAAAAGATGCGAAAGTTATGGAATTAAAATTGACATAAGACTTTTTCAATAAATTGTTCTTGTGGTTGTCATAGTAGCAATGAATTATGTTTTGGTTAAGCGTGATTAAGGGAAATTATCTTTTGAAATATTCAGTTTGTTTGGAAAAAACGAGCATCACAAAATATTCATATGGTGGTTGGTTTATGTTTAAAGTGACAACAATGCTGGTTCAACTTTCTTGATCTAATGATTACAGCACTAATCCAGAATTTTTCATCTTTATCTTTTTCGATTCTACCATTTGTTAACAATGGCTGATGAATTAAAGGTTGCCATTTGATTCGTCTTGTTTGCCATTTATTGTCAGCGGACGTATCTCACAGAAATACTTTGGTTTGCAAAATTTTTTCGTGGGACGGTTTTGAACTATTCATTTTGCTGTCTTTTTTCGGTGAAACTAAAAATGATAAGGTAAACTAATGTTTATTGTCTGCACTGCACACTTTTTGTCAACTATTTTTCATTGATTGGTCTTTCTTAATTCATATTTCTCACTTGATTTGCAGTTGGCAGAAGACTTTTCTGATTTATGTTATGAATAATTTTTTGAATCATTGTTCAAGAATTATTTTCTTATTCTGTTCATACTCCGTGATTAATGCTGAGTGTTGTCTCATCACTTTTTTCCCATAGATTGAACTTTTTATTTCTTATACACAACATTTTTTTTCGAATGCTGAATCCAAAAAGAAAAGTTTACAAAAATTTTCCAAGTTATGAGCGGTGCTAACATAAAAATCATTGGGGTCCCAGGGCTTTCCAGAGCTGATATCATTATCAGCGAGAAATATGCCGCACTTATCAATTGCTACATCTACAAGATGTAACAGTAGATAAGAGTCCGCTTTGCTGAATTTTTCATCTTTTGTAGCCATTTCTACTAAACTGGTATACTGAAAATGCGATGGTGTGATTCTGCAGTGAAAGCAAATTTTTCGCTCATTCAACGAATGAAATTTATTGATAAATCTATAACATAAAATGGATTCTTTCTGTGACGTATAAATCCATTTACGAATGAGGAATTTTCCGTTCATTCTTTGCTTGTTTTTTCTTTTTTTTTTTTTTTAAATTAAATGGACAAAGAATATTCCTTTTCGAGGTATCTTGTAGGGATCAACTGATCGAGTGCAGGAGGTGCTTGGTGCAATAAGCTCTTCGTTATTTATTGGATCTTAACAGATGTTACTTTTATTTTTGTATATTTTGTTGAATTTTTGTGTCCTAAAACAGTTTAGAAATATTGTGGTAATTTCCACTCCTTCTCTGTATCAAAATTTCAAATCCCATTTCACAAATCATTGGAAAGAGTGTGGAATGACTTACTTCATGAGCTCTTTTTTTAATCATTCCACTAACTTTTCTGATTTTGAAAAGCCAATATTGTTTGTTACTTTAGTTTATTTGAAAGACTATTTCTTCTCGAGGTATCTGTGCGGATCAATTGACCGAGCACAGAAGATGTACTGCTGCAGTAATAAGCTCTTCGGCATTAATACTCTTGCGCTTTGTTTCATTAAACAAAACCATTCAATACGAAGTACTTCATCGTTTTCCAGTATAATCGAATTCTTACGATTGTAGCGATAACCCATGACTGAAAAAAACTTGTCCATTCATGATTATCTGATTTTTCTTTCAATTTTTGCACTAATTTATAAAATCTTTGCCAGATCAACAAACTAAGAGATGAAAAATAGTCAGGTAGCTTTGGGAAGATGTAATAAGCTTACGAAAGTGAAATTAATCGACTTCATTTGGTGAAGTCTTTCGAGTTTTTTTGCTGAAAGCTCCTCTGCTTATCAAAAGTTGCAGTGCGGCATATTGAAATACTGATTATGTTCTGAATACTATTAATTCTCTTCCCGATTAGGTTCTCAGAGAACTGCTGATATATGGATTTTACAAATTGAAAAGAAATCTCTTTCACGACGGGGGACATCACTAGGAGATCTATGCTTCAAATATCCTCGATATGTTGAGTGCAATTTCCGGATTGAGGTATTTTGAGAAATAAATAATAATGGTTTAGTTTAGTGGTTTGGATCACCAAGAAGTTTTATAAAACACAATTTCTGTATTTGCTTAACAGTTGCTTCAAAGTGTGAAATATGCTTCAGTTTCTTCTCTATATTTTAGAATCAAACAAGTTGAAAAATACCTTGTGCAAAATGCATTCCCTTGATTTACTCAATTACTGCATCCTTATATTCGAATCTTGTTTGTTCCTTAATGAGAGCTCTCGGTAAGCTTTCTTTTTTCTTTAATTTATGAAATCTGATCAATCATAAACTCACGGGATGGATTCACATGTAACTTCTTGAATCATCGGTGTGAAGTGGGTAGTATAGAATCCACCGAGACTTATTTGTTGCATTAACAATGTTACTCCGATCAATCAAAATGAGGCGTTGACCGGGATGTTCCCTACAAATTTCCTAAACTTTATGCAACTTTACCCTCCATCTTAAAACATTAATACAAATTAAAAGCCATTTTCTGGAAAAGCGTTTAATGGGAACGCACTTTTCCATTCTGCTGTGTGGACACATACGAATTGAAGTATCATGAGGAGATTCGAACGGTTTATGATTCCCTCACAAATTTGCTTCATTTGTAAATTAAGTGCCGGATAACTGTCTTGCACGGTTTTATGAATTTTAATCCTTTCCTCGCCTTATCAAGACAGTTCAAATGAACTTAACGGATAATAAACAAGAAAAGTCTACGTTAATCTGGATATTTAACAGCAGCCTTTATAATTCAAATACTAAAATATGTTAACAATGTAAGCAAACTATTCCATGTGTTCATTTATTTTCATTACATTGGCTGAATAATGAGATGCTCTTCAAAGTCCCCAATAGGAATATGTCAAAGCGACGACCACTTTCAATGTCCGCCTAGTTATTTCCAACACTTTAGTCATTTACCGTGTTAGACCTTTGATTTCGAAACAACTTTGCTATTTGACAATTAACAACAGACACACTACACTCATCAGAGAGATTGCACTGTCACCAATCTTAAGAAACCGAAATATTTCCGCACAATCATTTGACTTTCGCCAGCACTGGCGAAAGTCAAATGATTGTGCGGAAAGTTTGGCGTTAATGAGACACTCTAAGCGATCCACAATTTTATAAATAAGTGACAGTCGCAACCACCTGAGAATATTAATCGAATTCGAGGTGTGAGAGACAGAATGCAGAGAGATTTAGAGACCACTGGTATCGCAGAGTGTGTAATTTAGAGCTCTAGAGGGGCGCAAAAATAGCACTGTGATATGAAATAATGTGACAATTTGCATTCACCAGAGAAGATTTGCGTGGTTGCCTTCGCGAAATCGAGGCTTGAATTTTACTCAACTAATTACTTCACTGTAGGTTTTAGTAAGTTACACTCGCTTTGAGTGTGCGCCGCACTGATAGATCCAATGATTTTGTTCATTCCAGCGATTTTATCGGGAAGTTAATTTTATGGTGGAATGGGCTGAAAGATTTCGTTGTCGTAGTTTGTGTGTAATCCTATGTATTATATTCTTCCAGGTCACATTTGAATTGCTGTGCAGTGATCCTTCGATCCATTTCTTCATTTATTCAGGACAATTTCCTTCATAATGTTGAACAAAAAGGAGAAAGTTGAAACGGAGGAAAGAAATGTAGAAACAGCTCTCTCAGATTGTGTTCCTGCTCATTCGGAGGTTTGCTATTGTGTCCTTACAAATGAAGACTTCCCGATTATTCCATACAACGCATTTCTGTTAAGCGGTTTATTAAAAGATGAATAACTCTAGCTTTTCAATCATTCGTTTGTCTTTACCAATTGACGGCAAACGAAAAATGATTCCGTGCATAACACTCTTTACGTAAGCGTATCACCGTTCTTATCTAAGATTTAATGAGAACAGTTCGTTTTTGATCTATTATTCGTCTTCCTTGTCCTCGACTATGATATTAAAAGCTGATGCATCCATTGGTGGTGTATTTTTTAGCTTTGTTTCTTTTCTTTCGTGTTAAAAAATGAAAAATGTAAATTTTATTCTGTAAAAATAAGTGCTTTTTCTTATCCCACCTATGTAAGACCATATTTTTTCTCAATATTATTCATCATTAAAATTATGGAGAACTGACAAGTCTCCAGCCTGCACGCACATCTTCCTTCATCGCTTCACTTCTGTTAATGGTTTACGTCTGCGACTTACCTTTCATTTGCAGGATTACCAATTGTGTAACAATCATATACGTGTAGTGCGATTAGAAAAGAAAGTGACTCACTTCCCTTTGCGCGATAAGTGTACTATTTTTTCTTTATATTAATTATGAAATTAAAACGGACCATTTTCTTTTTGAATGTTTTTTACTTTTTAACTTCAAAAAGGATGTACAACTGTTTGAAATTATAATATGGTCTAGGTGATGGAGTGATTCGTTGTCGTCGATAGGTTACTGCCATTACTGATTCCATATTTCTTAACTTCCACACTTTTTGCAAATACAGCTGTTAATTTTCCGATATCACATTCGAATACTCATGTAACTATGATTAATATGTAAGCTGAAGTTACCTGTTAGGCATTTGATTAAGTCTTAATCATGTTTCATTTTCAGATGATACGGAATCGACGTGTTCATCGTCAACAGAAGAACCAATTCCACCAGACGGTGGCTATGGATGGGTTATTGTTCTTGCATCCTTCCTTATTCATTTTATTTGTGATGGTAAGCATATCACTTCCCAATATCATTCTATGTACGAGGATTTCTTCGTTAGTAATTTGACGAGGAATTTATTTCTCTGTCTCAATCAGCAGAACTACAGCTAAATTATACATGCGTTTAGTCAGTTTTTGTTTTAATCCTTGCTTGAAATTGCGCACCATTTATTTAAATTTGTATAATTTTCATGAAATTTAGAGTGCATTAAATATTTCATCGCTATAAGTTGGTAAGGTGGTCAGTATGCATAGATTTTATTGGAAAAGATCCTCAAACAACTAAGACCAATTTTCTAACGTTTTATTAACTTTTAATATTTGTAGGGGTTTCATTTTCATTTGGCATCATGTTTTCGGAAATTCAAGAATATTTCAATGTAACAAAAACGATGTCTGGTATTGTTGGATCAATTTTTTTATCAATACCGTTGCTGTCAGGGCCGCTTGCTGGAGCTTTAACCGATATATATGATTGTCGGTCTGTATTTCTAGTGGGTACATTTGTAGTATTTGGAATCTGAAATGCATTATATGTCTGGGTTACGGATTAGCTATTTTGCATTGTTTTGAGAACATTTTCATATACTTTCGGAGTAAGTATTCTTGCAGGCGTATGACAATCATTGGTGGATTTATAGCAGCTGGTGGTGGACTGATATCCTTTTTCGCATTTAGCATTTGGCATTTTTTGCTTTCATTTGCCGTCATTACGGGCATTGGTTTAAGCTTTTGCTTTAATAGCGCTATTGTTGCAGTCACTTATTATTTCCAAGTACAGTTTTTTTTTTCTTGGGTCTTTTCAGTCTGGTTTCGTTTTTGACAACTAACAAGCGCTATATCCTAGCAGTTGACATTCATTTAATTCTTTATTTTTTTTTTAAAGAAAAAAAGAGCCATTGCAACGGGTATTGCTGTTTGCGGTTCTGGCGCGGGTACTTTTGTTCTTGCACCACTCATCGAAATGGTCAGTTCAACCTTATTTTAACATTTTTCAATTAGACAATAATTTTGTTTATTTGCAATTTCCAATATTTGATTCACACATTAATTCAGTTGTTGTTCTATCTTTCTGAGATAGTGGATAACTTTCAAGATATTTTTAATTTTCTGTTTAGCTATTTGCAAAGTTTGGTTGGCGTCCTTCTCTTCTTTGTATGGGATTTCTTTTACTGCTTATTGTCGGTTGTGGTTTTATGATTAAGGTGAATTTTTTCTTTATCACCAGCAATGTGTCGAATAGATCCATGAAAAATTATTTGGATTGATATTCACTTAAAGTTGCAAAATTGTAGGGATATTTTTACTAAATGCATTTTGGATCTATAAACTCCTTGCTCAGGATGCTTTAAATGTTTCGAGATGTCGTGAAGCCAAATCGAGTGGTTACTGGTTAAAGCTGAAGTAATTTTGGTAGCTTAATTTTGTCTTGAACTTTATTTCAGGATCTGGAGTGGCCTCATGATACTATAGAATACAAGAGAAAAAAATTCATCGAAAAAACTGAGCGTGATAGGGTACGATTAGCTATGAGGAATGGTGCTAATAATTCCAGTGTCTTCACTGTTAGTTCCAATTATCAGGTCAGGCTGATATTAATGCAAATGATGCTTGTTAGAGTTCTAGTGACTCCTAATCATAACCTTATATCAACTTTCCCATTGTTAATGGGCTTAAACTGCTGAAGTTTTAAATTGAATCTTCGAGTAAAAAGAACCACTGTATTGCTTGTTCAAGGCAATACCTAATGTGTTGGAAGATTTTTACTCTGACTCTCTGATTTTCTTTTTACATTTTCTGGTATGTTTGAAAATCCATGGCTTCTTCCTCTGAGCTATTCAAAGTCCTTTTATAATAAAGCCTCAAAGTTTTGTTTTTTTAGATGGATTTTCCGTACACTGTTTTGGCTCCTCGACGTACTATATCGCTGCCTTCAATACCAACGTATGCAATACCCCTTCTGCAAGTTATCGATCAGTCTTTAAATGTACAATCGGTAATGCTTTATAATGAAGGCAAAAGCCACACATGCAGAAAAAAGAGTGGACGTAAAGTTATAACTTTGAATAACATTGTTACCTAATTTACTCCGAGAAAAAAATTGGAATCAGTAGGTTTATTCAGAAATGCAATATGTGTTCTTAGAGTGTCAGCTGGCAATCTATTCTGCGTAACCAATATTTAGGGACTGATATTATCTTTATTCATTTTTTCATAGGCTGCTGTTAATGAATTGCAAATACCAGTATCAAAAAGTCACAGTATGGGTGAATTTTTGCGTGGTCCAGAAAAGGACATAACAAAAGGGCACGCACTTATTTTTGATGTCAGTCGTCCTGGAAAACGAAATTTGGTAATTTTTCATTTATGTTACGCGTTTCAATTCCGGACGCTAGATATCTTCTTAACAATTTAGTGATATTTCTTCAAAAAATGAATCGTAGGTGCCGCTGCTCATTATTTCGACGAACACCACGGTTTGTATCCTGTGTTTCTTTTAAGTTTAGGTGGTGCATGACGACGAAATTGATACATCATTAGAATCATCTCGTCAGGTTTGCTCCAGCGAAAGTTGTCACTCAGAAACTGGCGATTTAACATCCAACCAAGCGTCTGAAGTGGACACTGAATTTCCAAGGAGAACCTTGCGGTATTATATTTCCACTGTGTTATCTATGTCTTCCATATGTTAGAAAAATAATTTTTATTTTCTCTACAATCTAAATACTTTGCTTCTGTTTCCATTATTCCAAAATCCGCTAGTTGTGGGAGGGTCTTTTCCAGTGTTTGACAGTGATGCTTTCTGAACAGATCCTTAACATCCACACTTTAATGTATATCATCGTATTGTTTCAGTGCCAGTGGCGATGATAGCTTGGATGACAGCAGCAGGCAAAGCGGGCTCATTCATGCTAAACTTGTAAATGTTAATAAACTTGAATTAAGTCAGAGACGATCAGTTAAATCATTCCAATTACTATATTTTGTGTACGAGGCAGTTTTGGAAACATGCAGTTTCCATCGCGTTGATTAGTCAGTAATATTTCAGTTTTTAAAGATCTGTTCTTCCATAATTAAGTCTTACATTTATCCTGATATTGTAAAGATTATATCTTTTTTAAATACGCCAGGAACGCACAAGAAGCTATAATTTGATACAAGAAAATGCCACGAAGGAACCATTGTTAGGCGGCAACACTAAGGAAGAGAAATCGACAACACAAGTAGTTAAAATCTGTATGTCTGTTGTTGTATTATCAAAGAAATCAAAGATTTACATATTTTTGAAATTTAGTCAGCGATCATGAGAATTAGTTTAGGATTTGAATGAGGATGAATCAGTTATTGCGAGAATCCAGTTTAACACTGGTATTAAAATCCTTTGTCTACAGGGGGTTTCATTTTGTATTTATAGTTATATTCTAGATATCTTGACTAACATCTGGTTCAGGTACCATGGATTTGTTAGGATGTAACCGTATTAGCGGAAGAAAGTAATATTTGGTGGAATTTTAGGATGAATTAATGAGGAAGGTTCGTACTTTTTGCAGCGGAAGATATTATTCCTTCTTTCACAAGCCGCACTGTTTGCAATTCGTGCATTGCGACTCAGCTAGGTGCAGCACGAGGCCGAGTACCTGCAATTAACGTGTTAAGTTTTCGTTGGAAATTTGTGCCATTTGGTATCGGTATGTCCCGACGAATACCTTCTGCTCCTGCTATTTGTTATCGTAGAAAGCGAAAGCGAAGAACAATTCAGTTAAGTAAGGTAAGGTCTTTTTGACTAGTATTGCAAAATGCTGTCTTTAGAAAATTTTTGCTTCCATCAAAGTCTATTTAAACAGTTATATCTCAGTATTTCTCGTTGTATTTCTCGAAATACAAACTGTAACATTCAATATTTTTGTTAGTAATAATTCAGTACCATTCGATTTATGAAATCCGAAGTTTTTAGTGTTTGAAAATATTTTCAGATGTGGGAATCATTTCTAAAATGGATTTCTAATACAAAACTGGTATTGGTAGTTCCTGAGTTTTCTATTTTCTTGTTAAGTACCTTCATTCTCTATGTATTCTTTGATATACCGTACGTTAATTTTCCGGAATATGCTGTAGAAATTCATAATATTACTGAGACTAAAGCATCGTACCTGGTATCTAGCATTGGTCTTACGAACATGGTTAGCATGTTGTTTTGTGGAATCGTCGCCGATTGGAATCGAACAAGTCAGGTAAAAATTGTTTTCGAACCTTTAATTCTTTTTAAACTCAACACGTAAACCTTCAGATTATGGTTTTATTTTTAATAATTTACTGTCCAGAATTTTGAAGATATTGTTGTTGTCATAACTACTTTCCGTTTTTTTCAGTATATCATTCAAATGTATGGAATATTTATAACTTTAGCGGGTTTATGTGTTGCTCTTACACCGTTTGCCACTTCCTATGTTCGCTTAATGACACTTTGTATTGGTTTTGGTTTCTTCATTAGCGCGAACTACACCTTAGCATCCGTGATTACTCTTCAAATCCTTTGTTTATATGATTTTCAAACCGGTTATGGAATTCTCTGTCTGGTGGAAGGTCTTGGAAATCTTATCGGTCCAGCATTAATCGGTAAGGTCAAATTATAGCTTTATCTTATCTGGTGAAACAAACAAAATTGTCCCCAATTTCATCGTCAATTACTTTTTATAATGTAGTTATGTTTTTTGTTACGGAGTGAAAATATATCATCCACGATTTACTTACGTTCGGGAATAAATCTCTAACATAGCGGTTTTCAGGTTTTATGCGCGACAACTTAACTGGTTACGATAATATATTCTTGCTAGCTGGAGCAGGCATAATGATTTCTGGTCTTATGGTTGTGGCTATTGATGTATTTATGCTCACATATGATACTGATCACGAGAAGAAACATTTGATGAAACGTGAAGGTGATTTAGTTCTTTATATCCAAAAAAAAAAAAGAAATGAACTTGCAAAATAAGTGCAGTATAAACTGCACAGCAGATGTTCGCCTTACTTATTTCTGTTTCTCGAATGATTTAGTTTTATAAGCATCTTTCGAAAAAAAAGAAATACAGAAAAGAAAGTGAATAACTGATTATTGGTGAACATTTGTCTTTGTTGGCTAATGTTGTCTAACATTTATCTTTAGCTAATTATTTGATGCTGGGCTTTATTTCATATCCCAGTCCGTTTCAGTATATGTTTACCATTTTTTTTTCCTTTTTTTGTTCCTGAAATTGGTAGAACTTTTTACAGAAATTATCAATAAAAAAATGGAAAAAATTTAAATGATAGCTTTGCTGGTTACTTTTCTTAAATCTTTTATTTCATTTCAGCTTAATTACCAACATTATTTATCCATTATTACAGATATACTGGAGACCGAACGGACTGCATTAAAACGGTGAAAAATAATGTAGTCTATGGTATTCACCATTTTTCGTCAAATTACCATAAAAGAAATGGATTTGAAGAAACTGGAAGTTGATTACTGCAGCAGTTTTCATCCAGGAATCGTACTTTTATTCTTTATTCTCTGAGAAATAAGCATCAGTTCATTTTCATTGTTTTTTTCGTTTCACTGTCGCTTTGACTACGAGTAAATATGAAAGGTATTTTGAGGCCCTATTGTGTTATGTCTGTGTTACCACTTCATGAAATGGGTAAATTCACTGGGTTAATTGATTTTTAAATTTCATTCTTTTGTTTTTTGGGTGTTTTTTGTGATGGTATTGGATTTTCTCATTCTCCTGCTATGTGCACGTAAAATTCTCCCTTTTTGTATGGTGCATGACCCAGTTTAATGTAGAGAACAGTGGCTATAACCTCATCACACGGTATGAATTCTAATCTAGCTGAGGTCATTTTCTCTGCAATATTTTCATTCTTTTTCTCCAATTTTTTGTCCGTTTAAGCATTTAGTTTGATAAGTCTCAATGTTTTGACTTCTGAAAATTTTTATATGTTTCTTTGTTGCAAGATCTTCCGCACGACAAGTTTTTGATTTCTTTTTGGCTTTTTCGTACTTTTCTTTTTATCACTTTTTTTTCCATATTTGCGTTTTATGCAGCAAAACCATGTTGTCCTTACTTCTTTATTGTTGTTTCTATTTCAACCTCGCGATTTTTCAGAGGAGGAATTTTCTGAATATTCTAAATCCACAAACAAATTACAACTTTCATCCATTTGCTTTTTGGACTTCCTAACATTGTATAGTGCGAGAGGCATATTACTGATGAAATATACCGTTAAGGTTCCTGCTCTGTACTTGGATGCAGCAATAATATACACTTTTCTTTTAGTTCATTTGTTTAACCGCATGCAGTTTATTCGCCGAATTTTTTTCAATGTATATAGGTTTAGGTAGGAGACCTGTATTTGTTATACCTCTACTCTCTCCAGAGTTTTGCATCTCTTCTGCATGACGTATACGAAGTTATAAAGTTGTTCAATACACCCCCAATATTCTCGTCAAACTTTGGAATTCGAATCTGCTATGTACATGTGTTTTATATGCATGATTTTAAAAACAGTCCAAAATGATGGCGCCGATCCGCAAGGGATGTATTCTTACAGGTCGAAAAGCGGCTATTTAAAAAAGAAAAGTAGAGCGCTGTTGTCCTGGCAATAAATGAGTCTGAAACTTCACTCTCTTTTTATGAATCTTTGTCCATCCTATTTGCACTAGGAAAAAAACGATCCTCACCAATCTTTGCTCTTTATGATTCCTAATCCTAATTATATTATATGCCCAAGGTTTCTATAGGTACGTGTGCGCATATCCGAATTTAGTTTTGTTTTATATTTAAGACGTCCCGAGGTGTCGTCTTTTTTGTTTCCTATCTTATGCAGGTTGAGCTGAGTTTTTCTCTCCGATTAATTGCAATTCGATAACTGTCAAAAGGAGGTAGTAGTCATTAGTTGGGTTTGAACAACAACCTTTACGAACCACTAGAACAAATTTACTTGCGTATTAACTGTATGTGGATTAGCGGATATGACTGATTCTTAATTTGATGCTTGTAACCATCAATATGCTAGGTAATTACGTTTTTACCGTTTAAGATTTGTTATGGAAAACTTTCGTGGTTACCGTGATTACGTTTTTACCGTTTATAATTTGTTATAGGAACCTTTCGAGCGAAACTTTATTCGGAAAATTCGAACTGGAAAAAAGAGATGGAGCAATGACTGGCTCACATCAGAAAGTGATCGTTCTTGAAAGGCGTACCAAACATAATATGACTTCTGCGACAATGATAATTTGTAGTAGTTGACTCAAATTCTCATCCATTTTTGTCGGTTACTTCCTGGAGCCTCTCCCATCAAGACCTTGTGGACAGCTAAAACTTTTTGCGAGGACCTGCAAATATGCATTTTCGATGTTTAATGTGCATTCTTTTTTTGATTCCTTGTTGAATTACGATTTACTTCTATGTATTGTGTATATGATTGTATAATTAAAATGAATTCATGTGCAATTATATTTCTGAACCCTACTTTAATGAACATTACGAGAACAATGAAGCAAGCATTCCATGGGAAGTGTAACATCTTCATTAATTTAATTTGAGGAAATATCTGGAAAGGTCGAACTTATTGATGATAGCTAAGGATTACTTCGTTCACATATGAAACGTCTGATTTTTCTGTGCAGCTTTGAAGTAAGGCAATCGCTTGTTCACGGAGCTGATTGAGTCTGCAAACTAGTTTATGAAACTGGAACAAATATAAGTAAAAATATTACTACCATTCGTGTAACCAATATGGATGACAGCTAGACTGAGCAAAATGTAATATTTTCGTCCAAAAGTAGGCACTGTGGTTTAACGCGAACTTGTAGTATTCGGCCTCTTGTGTTAAAAGAGCTAAGCGATCTGGATCTTTCGGTAAGCATGCTTCCCATAACTGTTTCGTAGATTTCAAACGCAGATAATTCAAGATTATTCCAAAACTGAAATATATGTTGTCTTTTATGTGGTTGAGTTCGGTCATTTGGTTTACAGTGAACCGTTTTTGTTAACTGTGCTATTATCATAAAATCTTATTAGATTGTATGGCAGAAATAAAAGTGTTGGAGTTCGTAATTTTACCTGATTGGGTCTCGATCGATGAAATACGCTCCTTTGCTATCTTTTTCCAGCGGTGGTTTTCCAGTTTCTCCAGTGAACCACTAATCAAAAAGTTGTATCTATGTTTAATTTTTGAAATCTTATAACTTCCACGGCGACATAACAGGATGGCAAACGAACACTGTGAACTTAGAGAGTATATCAATTTATTACTGCAGTAACGCTACAGTTTTAGAAACCGACTCTCCAATCATGTCGCGGTAACAAATCAAATGAAAGAAACTGAGTGAGAATGAAACTGACCTGATTAAATAGAGACTGTTTTTCTTGCAATATTGTATTTACTGTTGTGGAATATTGCTGGCCACCAACATTGAAGTTGAGAATAACCATTTGAAGTTGCGCAGTCGGAAAAAGAAATTAGTTGCATGGCGACATAATTATATTTTAAAATAAATTACGAAGCGGCGAGAAATTGGATACACACCATACATCCCATATCTTTTTACCAAATCATTTAGAGATTAGAATCCAACCTAAAGTATAAGTATAAAATCAAATCATCTAGAGATTAGAATCCAACCTACCGGATAATTTTCTGAACACAGAAATCGATGGCATCCTTCGAGAAATTTCATCTAATGGATTCAAAACAAACCTTTATTTTGTATAAGTTATGACCATTACACTGTTACTGTTATTCATAAAAAATGGAAAAAACGTCTCAAATAAAATGCGCGCTGAAAAGTCCGTCATATCAAGTGATTAGCAAAAATGAGGCTTGGAAGGGGGTTTTTTTTTCTCTAAATTAAACAAACAAACATAATATATTTTCATGAATCTTTAACAAATTTCGAAATGCAAAAAACATCAAAATCATACTGGAAGAGTTATTTTCATGGATTTTCAAATGAGAAAAGGAAAGCAATAAAAATCCGAATAAAGCGTAAGGTTAAAAAGATTTAACAAGAAGCTATAATGAAGTAGGGAACAATGTTACCGCTTTGTCGTTGCAAGACTTGGAGTGGAATCTTTGAGTACTTACTTCTTACTAAACTGTGGAGCAGGTACAGAATGATATGCTTAGACCCTTCGTTTTAATAAAATGAGAAGCAATTACTGACTAAATCGCAAAAATCTAATCAAAATTGGAAAAAACTGTATGTGGACGCAGCATGCAATAACTGCTTGAAAATTAGTAAGAAATAGGACTAGAGTTCGGGTTCAAAAATCTTCGAGAAGAAATACTTTGGTTTGAATTTCTTTCTTGTCTTCCTGTCGTCAGAAACCAACAGATATGGCATTACATCGAAGATTTGGAAATAGCAATTCTTCTGGATCGCTTCTCCATCCCGTCCAGTTTATACAACGTGTCTGAAGCACTCATACTAGACATATGTGATACATGCACTGGCATACGCATCCAAGCAAACAAATATCGATGATCAATTCTAGGATGTAGGGTAGCTGTCTCAAAATGATGTCTTCGAATTCCATGCCTGGCATTTCCGTGCCCAGCATAATATTTAATGGTTAAAACAGTGCTGAAGCAGACACCTGCATTTTATCTGTTTAGTTGATTTGGTCGAGATCCAATTTAATCAGCTGATTACAAGCATGAGACAAGTTGACAGGTCTAAAATTTTTTAAATTCTGAGTAAAGCACTTTTATCTTACGGTTGAAGGCTTACTTTTAGTGGACCAACTTTGATAATCGACCCCATCTCCCAGCTTTTTACTTGACCAAGCTATTCACTGCGTCTATTTCTTTTTAAAATATGATTCTGAGATCCTGTATGCAAGATTTCCTCAAAAGCCAGTGTGGGACCACAGTTGCCCTTTTCTTATATGGTATCATGAAAACGAAACCACTGAGGGATTATTCACTAGCATTCAAGAATCACGTTTCAATTTCAAATCCCACGTACACTCATCATGCTGAAAGCTCTCATATTTTCCATGTCTTTCATGTGTTCTCCTGTAATATTTTCTATGATATTGTAGCGGATCCAATGAAGTGAATGCGGAACATGTTCACAAACTGCAAACACCTGCAATTTTTTATGTAAGTTTCTCGCTGATCATATAATTTTAAAACAAATATGATCAATGGTTTGTTCCAGGAGAAGTATTGGTTATACTGTACAGCATTAAACTGGTTTTGTTAATATTATAAGCAGTTTCCCAGCAAAAGTTTTCCGCATTTTCACCATTCCTTACTGCCTTTCCTACAAAAGAAAAAGAAAATTTGACGGAAATCCCAATTTAATTACATCTGGTAATTTCAATATGCCAAATACAGCATGTCCTACAAATTAAAACTTAGAAAAAGTGTTGAAAGAGAAATCGAAAGTTTTCTAATGTTCCATCACTTTCTGATCTCCATCTTTATCCCTTCCTGATCAGTACTCTTCTCGCTATCAAATATTATTAATTACATAGAGCAATACAATTACTGTGCAAAAATCAGTGGCAATGCAACAAACTCAAATTTGGTTTGTATGAACTGTTTTCATGAAAATCCATTTGAAGAACTATTGAAGACTAAAATCATTCGAGCCTTTTCTGGAACAAAAATGAGGTTCGACAAGAAATCTAAGAATCAACATCGGATTAGGGAAAAAGTAGTTTAAAATGTAAAACTCGGAATACCATGAGCTGAAATTTTAATAAAATTTTCCAAAAGATGAAGGCAATAAATTATAATTGTATTAATCTTGTTTAGTCACATAATAATTTATATATTAATGAATTCAACAACAAATCCGTGTCGCATACACCATAATTTTCTGGAATGTAGTCAGTTTTGAACGTTATATTCATTAAAATTTTTATTTTAGTTTCATTGAATCAACTGATTCTGGAAATATCCAGATTCCTTAAATTTTTCTGCCTCAAAATCCTTTCAATCTTTTTCAAGATCTATTATATACACATTCATGTTACAAAACAGTGCCGGGTAAAAAAAATACATACAAAATAAAGTCTGATGCTCGATTTCTCCACAAAAATGTTTTTTTTTTCTTAGATTTGCTTTTTTGCAATACTGCAATTACCTATAAATGAAGTAAACATTTACTCTCCAGTTTATCAGCAGCTTGTTTCATTGTTCCAACATCCTTGCATTGCACATCCTTGCATTGGACATAAATCAGTTTATTAGTCCCATTTTTGATTCATTGCACAGTTCAACACAACTCCTTCATTCCAAAGCACCAACTTTTGCATATATTGTTACTTTCCACTGACATCATCCCTTTTTAAAAGTCCTATGCAGTTCTTAAATAAAATCACCAAATAATAAATTTCTATCACTCATATCTGAAATAGTACGACCCACATTAGCTTGTCCAACAATATATAGGGCGTATTTATTTGTATCATCCATCTAGTGAAGCGTTCACTAAAAAACTATTGCACTGATCATTTCTCTGTAAACAGGTCAACAAAGCCATCAACTTGGTGAAAAATCATCATCTGGTGTTTGGTTATTAAAGACCTTTAAAACTTTGAAAATTTGCATAGATTTGAGATAATGAAAAACAAGTTTTGTACTCTTACTGGGAGTGGTGTTTTAAACCCTTCAGCTTTTCTCGTGTCTTAAAAACTTAGAAAACGAAAAAGCTCCAGCCGGTCAAATAATGATGGTATTTATCAACTGAAATATTGAATTTTGCAAAAGGGATAATATCGCTGGCGTGGCTTCCTATCGCATTTGTAACCAGATGGTCATTCCTGGGTGATCTTCGTATCTGAAGATAGCACGGCATAAAATTTGACCTCACATCTGGAAATGGCTCTCCTGAATTGTTTCCAAAAAACGCTGAGAGAGAGTTCTTGCAAGCGACACTCCAAGAATTTAGAAACTTCAGTGAAAGTCCAGTGATGGTACCGCTTATTTATATGTCACAACGCTAAAAAATCAAATTATTTTGATCCTAACGAAACTTTTGTTGGAAAATTCATTAAAATTATCAGAAGAGAGGAGGTAGGAAAAAATAAGAGAAAAGGTGAGGACGCAGCATGAGCTATACAGCCTTTAGTTAACAAAAGTGTGAAGTATTAGACGACCTGGTAAAAACTTCCAGTTATCCTGAATGTAGCGATAGTTTGCAGCACAATTCGTCATCTTAATATGTGCCCACATCTTTTTAATCTTTTCTGTAGTCTCAACTCCCTCTCCTTCCTGTCTTCCCCTTTCTTGTCCCTTTTAATCTGGAAATTTTAATAAATTTTTGGAAATTCATTCCAGAAATTAGCATAGTCCTATATTATTGCTGGATTATATTTCTTGGTAAATTTCGTTCTTCTTTCAAAAATTTATATACTTTCCCACTGAGATATAACTATGCAAAAAAGTCACTGTTTAATTTTTAACACTCACATAAGGAGAAGCAACTTCGATTTTCTTGGAAATCCTCTTGTAGTTTACCCAACAACAGAAAGACTAAATGTAAGTAAACAAGACAGTCTATTTCAACAAATGATAAAAGTGGCACATTTATGCAAAATCAAATCGGACAAGTCACAGTCCACTTCTTCGTTTCATTGCATCTTTGCTTTTCTCACTTTCAGATTTGCTTTAATACTCTTATGCCTTCCTTTCTGCTGTTTTCCGCTTCCATGTTTTATCAGTTTTTTAGTTTCCTTTTTTATTGCTTCATCACTCTGCAAAAATTAAGTTGGATAAAAAGCAGAAATAATTCTCCAGGAACCAAAAGACTGATATTTCAAAAGCTCAAAACAATAAATAAGTGATCCTATCCAGGCGGATAGTTTGCGAAAGAATATTTGCAACAAGAGGGAAGAAATTTATGGTTTCTGGAAAACAGAAATCATCCTAGCAATACTGCTCACTGTAAGAATTGAGATGGTAAGATGATAAGAACTTCTATTTATCTGCATTAGGATCATTTCTACCTTCAAAAATTTCCACTGGGATTTTGAATACCTAAACTTCCGTAGCAACCACAGCCTTATCTGATGGATGGCATCGTATGATTTCACTTGTTACGCTCTTGACGTGAATCACACCAGACTGTGCACCATATCGAAATAACAGTCCCGTGCTGTTTATTTCTAATCCTGTGAGACAAAATTTTAAGTTATTTTATTAAAACAGAAAATTCAAACATCTGTATGCACGGAACATACTTCTCTAATGTTAAGAATTGATTCAGTACTTTTAATTATCTGGCAGGTATTTTACGAACTAATTAGAAGGGTGTCGTGAAAGTTTATGTTATGACGATGCAAATGAAAATTGAATAAAATATTGTTACTTTGAAGAAGAACTGTTGTGGATTTCGAACCTTTGAATTGTAGCCATGAAGGACATATTTCATAAAACTATTTATTAAGCGACGAAATATAGTCAACGTAAAATCTATATATATAGTAAAATAAAGCAGCGGGATAAACGTAGGTAGGACGAAAGGATAGAATCAAACGAAAGAATTAGTAGAA